TGTCTCTCTCTGTCTTTGTCTGTCTGTCTCCCTCCCTCCCTCCCTCTCTGGTCTCTGTCTCTCTCTGTCTCTCTCTGTCTTTGTCTGTCTGTCTCCCTCCCTCCCTCCCTCTCTGGTCTCTGTCTCTCTCTGTCTGTTTCTCTCTCTCTCTCTCTCTCTCTCTCTGTCTCTGTCTCTCCCCCCCTCCCTCTCCCTCCCTCCCTCTCTGTTCTTTGTGTCTCTGTCTCTATCTCTCTGTCTGCTTCTCTATCTCTCTCTGTTTGTCTGTCTCTGTCTCTCTCTGTCTCTCTCTGTCTTTGTCTGTCTGTCTCTCCCTCTTCCTCCCTCCCTCCCTCTCTGTTCTTTGTGTCTCTGTCTCTATCTCTCTGTCTGCTTCTCTATCTCTCTCTGTTTGTCTGTCTCTGTCTCTCTCTGTCTCTCTCTGTCTTTGTCTGTCTGTCTCTCCCTCTTCCTCCCTCCCTCCCTCTCTGTTCTTTGTGTCTCTGTCTCTATCTCTCTGTCTGCTTCTCTATCTCTCTCTGTTTGTCTGTCTCTGTCTCTCTCTGTCTCTCTCTGTCTTTGTCTGTCTGTCTCCCTCCCTCCCTCCCTCTCTGGTCTCTGTCTCTCTCTGTCTGTTTCTCTCTCTCTCTCTCTCTCTCTCTCTGTCTCTGTCTCTCCCTCCCTCCCTCTCCCTCCCTCCCTCTCTGTTCTTTGTGTCTCTGTCTCTATCTCTCTGTCTGCTTCTCTATCTCTCTCTGTTTGTCTGTCTCTGTCTCTCTCTGTCTCTCTCTGTCTTTGTCTGTCTGTCTCTCCCTCTTCCTCCCTCCCTCCCTCTCTGTTCTTTGTGTCTCTGTCTCTATCTCTCTGTCTGTTTCTCTATCTCTCTCTGTCTCTGTCTCTCTCTCTCTCTCTGTCTCTCTCTACCTCTCTCTCTCTCTGCCTCTCTCTCTCTCTGAATGGTTTCCTTTTGCTGTCGTCTCCTAATCCTCCTGCAGGTTTCTTTCAAAATAATAATAAAATAAAATAAAGCAATGTGAAGGAGCACCGCTTTAAAAAAAAAGCCATGGTTTAATAGTCTGTTGCAATATATTAACTGCGACACATGTCATCGTAAAAACACCTAAAATCAAACACTTCATGAGAAGTTGCTGGAGGCAGAGCTTGGGGGATGAATGAGGCCAGCCCCCCTACCTGGAATACAGGTATAGGCCGAAAGGGAGAAAGTAAGAGGAGGCCCATCCCTTTCGCTCCCTGGACACCGGAAGGAGAGAGCCTCTGGGGCAGCCAAGGGTTGGAAGAAGGTGGACCGGGCCCTCCCCTTCCAATGCCCACTGTCAATTTGGTTGCAAGAAGCACCATTGGAACATGAAGGGGGTGTGCAAGTCCCAGTCAACGAGGGTGAACGTTGGTTCCAATCTCCAGATTTGGCCTCCGATGGTCAAGGATGGTGAGGCTCTCCCACGCTGACCGCAGAGACAATGTTTTTCAAGTAAGAACGGGAAGGAGAGAAGCATGGCACCGAAGGCTATAGGGTGATGATGGTGCCATCCTCCTGGAGGCTGCCCGTTCGGCTGCCCCGCATGGGGCTCCCGCTGCCACTGTGACTGTTCAGGGAAGGCAGGGACCCTTGGGAGCTATAGAGCGAGAGGCTGTGCTGGAGGCTGTCAAGAAGACCCCCGTTGGGGCAGCTGGCAGGCAAGTCACTCTCAATGACCAGGTCTCCCTCCTCATCGCTTTCCCCCTCGGCTGTGCTACAGTTGCTCAGGTACTGGGAAGCCGGGCTGGGCGTCTGCTGGCTGGGCGTGCTGTCCGTGGACATGCCGGAACTCCCGGAAGCCTTGCTGCTGCGGATGACGTTGTTGCGTTGATTGGCCGGCTTGACGGTGATGATGAGATTGTGGCTGTTGGCCACCATCATGTCGGTGACCTGGTCCAGCGACTTGCCCGCCACGTCGATGCCGTTGACTTCGAGGATCTCGTCGTTGACGGCCAGCAGTCCAGTGCTCTCAGCCAAACCTCCCTTGACCAAGCGGGAGATGAAGATGCCGGGCACCTTCTCCACCCCGTGATGAGCCACTCGCACACTGACCCCATCCCGGATATAAAAGCCCAGGGGCTTGTTGGAGCCGTGTTTATGGAGCCGCACCCGCCGGTGGGTCTCGGGCAAGATGTCCACGTCGATGATGGAGGAGATCTGGCGGAAGTCCTGGGGCATGCCGATCAACAGGTGGGGCTTGGCCCGTTGGTGCGTCGGCCTCAGCAGTCCCTTTTTCTTCCGCTGCAGGGAGTTGGAGGCAAAGACGCTGGCGTTGGCTTCTGCTGCAAGGAATAAGAAAACAAGAAGGTGTCACAAGGGGAAGTTCTCTTCTCCAGCGATAGCGTCCTTCAGCTTCACCCCCGGTTTTCCTGAGCTCCTTGTTGGCTCTTCCCTATTCTGAACCACAGTAACGTTCTGACCCAGGCTTCCTTAGAAAGCAAGAACCAAAGTCTTGGTCCCTGCAAAACCCCTTTTATTGACAAGGCTGTGAATTCCTTCCATTCACAGTCAGCAAGGCTTAGCAAACAAGTCTTTCAGAGGAATATTTATCCACACGCACCTTATCTCACTTGGAGCGCTGCCAGATAACTAGTCTCCAAACACCAGCCAAAGCAAAACTTGGCAGCGTCTCTTATAATTAAAACTTTCCACTCTTCAACTGACCAAAGGAACAAATTGTCCCCTGCAAAAGCCCACTCCCCCGTTTGCTCCTCTTTTGTTTCCTCTGGGAGGGGCCAATCNGAAGCAGAGTCTTGGTCCCGGCAAAACCCCTTTTATTTACACGGCTGTGAATTCCTTTCATTCACAGTCAGCAAGGCTTAGCAAACAGTCTTTCCAAGGAATGTTTATCAACACAAACCTTATCTCGCTTGGCGAGCTGCCAGATAACTAGTTTCCAAACACAGGGCAAGGCAAAACGTGGCACAGAGTCTCTTATAGTCACAAACAGAACTTTCCACTCTTGAACTGACCAAAGGAACAAATTGTTTCCTGCAAAAGCCCCCTCCCCCTTCGCTTCTCTTTTGTTTCTTATCGGAGGGGCCAATCCCCTCCAAGGTGTGGCTTTACTCCCAAGTCAACCCTGCTTTCTAAGTTGTTCTTGTCTTCTGGCAGCTCTGCGCATGTGCACACTGGGAACAGGCTCCAGCTGTTCCTCTGCCTCACTGCTGTTTGGTTCCCTCTCTGCCTCCGACGCAGAGCCCTCGTCTGAGCTTTCCTCAGCCCCCAGGACTGGCCCAGGTTCCTCCCCAATCTCCTTGCTGGCCGCCGCCGGGCCACAACAGGACTTCTGGGAAATGAAGTCCACAGGTCTTGAAGTTGCCACGTGAAAAACAACAACAACAACCCACCAACCACCTTCTTTGCACTGTCCCTTGAATGGTTTGGGCAATGGTTGCTACAGCATGATCAAACCTTGGGAAGATGTTTTAAGACAATGGTTTTTCCAGCTCTAGGAAAAAACATCCACCATGCCTTCCCAACGCTGGTCTCTTCTGCTTACGCTTGACACAATTTTGTTAGCCTGATCACCACTTCATAAGTGTGCTCTTTTCCTACACAAGTACAGAAGTACTTGCTGCAAACTGGCCCTCAGGCCAGAGAGCCGCACGAATCAAAAGAAGCAACTGGGGATAAGATAGGGATAGTAGAAAGCCAAGGTGGACTTCCAAAACTTTCATTCCTTCGGTTCTCTCAGAAAAGCCCACTCCTTTTCCTTCTTGCTCCAAAGAACAGTTGTTGCTTTGGTCAGTGTCAAGTTCAGCTTTTGATAGAGCAGGTGCCGGTAACCTTAAACACTCAAAAGAGACACAAAAGTCCTAATTGGAAACCCCCGTTCAATTCTGGAGTTGACTGGAAGTCTGGTCCCCCTCCCCATAGAGTTTCCTCCGAGCACAGCATCCTTTTTCCTCTATCTGTCCTAGTTGAAAGCTCTATCAATTGTGGAGACGACCGGCGACAAGGAGCCGCAGCAGTGGGACGAAAGAGCCACATGCGGCTCCAGAGCCGCAGTTTGCCGACTCCTGCTCTAGAGGGAGCAGAAAATTGCCTGTGGTTCACAGCAGAACATCAAAGGATGGTGACACAATCGCATCCCCACTGCTTCCCTGGGGAAGCCGCTCCACAAATCCAAGTGTTGGCTTCTTGTGCAGGCGTGAACTAGTTCACACGGCTCCACATTGAAAACCGGAAACAGTCTTCCTCCGTTTTTAAGCTGTATAAGCTGCCTAGATAGATATTTGTGTATATGTATAATTCAGGTCAACGCAACTTTTAGAGCTAGGCAATTTTTTTTTTAATTGTCTGGTGTTCTGACATAACCACCTATGCAAAGGAGACGTACTTCTGGGTGAGGGAAATAAACTAACCTACATGGGTATGAAAACTACTGGCTGTTATGAAAACGGAAACGATAAACCAAGTTTCCCTTAACTTGCGCTGGCCTAAGGGCCACCTGTTGAAGAGGTTGACTTTTTGTTTGAAAGCCCGTTTTTCAGAAACCGCGCGCTAATTATTAATGTTTATTCTTTTGAAACGTTAATTTGGAATAATCTCGTGAGGGACCGGCAATGCATGGGTCTGGTCTCCATTTTGAATTTTTTTTTTTGACATGAAACCCACCCAATGGAGGACCCTTCCCAGGAATTCTGTGTGTTTCCGAAGCCACTTTTTCTGGAACAATCACCCCGTTGGGCAGGAGAACACAAAAGCTTTTTGTTTTTAATTTGGGGCTGTTGACCGAAGGAATAGGACAGTCATGGCGAACCTTCCCAGCCATTGCTGAGTACCCAACAAGGAATGTGCATGCATGTTTGTGTATGTGGTGGAGCGCAGGAAACGCGAAGACCAGATGGCCGGCAGCAAAGCAGTTATGCCTACTTTTTTACTGTTTTTTAGGTCGTTTTTGGTCCAGAAAATGGCCCCCAAAACAGGCCGTTTTTCAGGCCATATTTGGGCTGTTTACAGGCTTTTTTTAGACTCTTTTAGGCCCCCCAAATGGCCAGAAAACAGCCCAGAAATGGTCTGATAATGGCCCCCAAAACAGGCCATTTTTCAGGCCATATGGGGGCTGTTTTCAGGATTTTTTCCAAACTGTTTTTGGCCTGAAAATGGCCCCAAAATGGTCTGAGAATCGCCCCAAAACAGGCTGTTTTCAGGCTTTTTTTCCAGACTCTTTTAGGCCCCAAAATGGCCTGAAAATAGCCCCCAAATTGATCTGAAAATGGCCCCAAAAACAGACCATTTTTCAGGCCGTTTTTGGGACTCTTTTAGGCCCCCCAAATGACCAGAAAACAGCCCAGAAATGGTCTGAAAATGGTCCCCCAAACAGGCCATTTTTCAGGCCATTTTTGGACTGTTTTCAAGCCTTTTTACAGCCTTTTTTTGGCCCAATAAATGGCCTGAAAACAGCCCAAAAATTGTCTTGAGAATGACCCCAAAAACGGGCCGTTTTCTGGGTCATCTTTTGGGCTGTTTTCAGGGGTTTTTTGGTCTGAAAATTGGTCTCAAAATGGCCCCCAAAACAGGCCGTTTTTCAGGCCGTTTTTGGGACTCTTTTAGGCCCCCAAAATGGCCAGAAAACATCCCAGAAATGGTCTAAAAATGGCCCCCAAAACAGGCTGTTTTTCAGGCCATTTTTGGGCTGTTTTCAGGGTTTTTTTCCAGACTGTTTTTGGCCCAATAAATGGCCTGAAAACAGCCCAAAAATGGTCTTGAGAATGACCCCAAAAACGGGCCGTTTTCTGGGTCATCTTTTGGGCTGTTTTCAGGGTTTTTTTCCAGACTGTTTTTGGCCCAATAAATGGCCTGAAAACAGCCCAAAAATGGTCTTGAGAATGACCCCAAAAACGGGCCGTTTTCTGGGTCATCTTTTGGGCTGTTTTCAGGGTTTTTTTCCAGACTGTTTTTGGCCCAATA